CTGAGATTCTTCAGTCTGTTCTATGCTTCCATTTCTATTTTGTTCATCAGTTTATTTTGTTCATTAGATTCCGCATATGAGAGAGATCATGTGATACTTGTCTCTCTCTGACTGGCTTATTTCACTTAGCATAATACTCTCCACATCGCTCCATGCTGTCTCAAAGGGTAAGAGATCCTTCTTTTTCACATCTGCATAGTACTCCATCATGTAAATGCACCACATCTTTTTTATCCACTCATCTGCTGATGGGCACTTGGGCTGTTTCAAGATCTTAGCTGTTGTAAAGGGTGCTGCTATGAAAACAGGTGTGCATGTTGCTGCCCTAACAATACTGTCTTTCACTCTATGACCATGGGATGTCTTTCCATTTACTTAGGTTTTCTTCTACTTCTTTCAGCAGCATTTTGTAGTTTCCAGTGTAGAATTGTTAAATTTATTCCTAACTAGTTTATTCTTTCTGATGATATTATAAATGGAATTGTTTTCTTCATTTCATTTTTGGACAGTTTGTTACTGATGTATAGAATACAATTGATTTTATATATTGATCTTGTATCCTGTACTTTGCAGAACCCATTTACTGGTTCTAGTAGTTTTTTTAGTGGATTCCTTAGGATTTTCTATAAGCAAGATCATTTCATGTGCAAATAGAGATATAGTTTTACTTCTTCCATTCCTTTGTGGACACATTTATTTCTTTATCCTGCTTAATTGCTCTGGCTAGAACCTCATCTGTTGAATAGAACCTATCCTATATAATAAAAGAGAAACATGCAAATTAACCATCCCTCCGCTACACTCAAGCCACGCCCACAAGCCAATCAGGAGTGAGTATGCAAATTAACCCAACTAAGATGGTGGCGGCCACGGAGCTGGAGCAAGCAAGGCTTGGGTTGCCCCCCGCGACGGAGGAAGCCAAGCTTCCCACCTGCCCTGGCCGGCTCTGGGCTCCACTCAAGGCTACAAAGTTTCAATTATAGAAGATAAATAAATCCCAGGAAAAAAAAAGAAAGAAAAGAGGAGAGGCTGGGAGCTTGGGTCACCAGGGGGCATGGCCAGCCTGAAAACGGCCCTCAGCCCCTCACCCAGACTGGCCAGGCACCCCAGCAGGACCCTCACCCTGATTCGGGACACCCTTCAGGGCAAACCAGCCGGCCCCCACCTGTGTACCAGGCCTCTATCCTATATAATAAAAGGGTAATATGCAAATTGACCCAAACAGCAAAAACAACTGGGAATGATTGGTCACTATGACACACACTGACCACCAGGGGGCAGACACTCAATGCAGGAGCTGCCCCCTGGTGGTCAGTGCGCTCCCACAGGGGGAGCTCTGCTCAGCCACAAGCCAGGCTGACGGCTGCCAGCACAGCAGTGGTGGCGGGAACCTCTCCCGCCTACTCAGCAGAGCTAAGGATGTCCGACTGCAGCTTAGGCCTGCTCCCAGCTGGCAAGTGGACATCCCCCAAGGACTCCCGGGCTGCCAGAAGGATGTCTGACTGCCAGCTTAGGCCCGATCCCCCAGGGAGCGGGCCTAATCCAGCAGGTGGACATCCCCCAAGGGGTCCCAGACTGTGAGAGGGCACAGGCCAGGCTGAGGGACCCTCCCCCCCACGGCACAAATTTTTGTGCACCGGGCCTCTAGTGTTAAATAGAAGTGGTGAGAGCAGACATCCTTGTCTTGTTTCTGATATTAGGAGGAAAGCTTTCAGTCTGTGGCATGGAACACCATTTTTACTTAAAAGAATAACTAACAAAGTATGGTTACTCAGACTTGGGTATCTGGCAGACAGTTTGCCCAAAATGAATGAAATGACCTGTCACTTTCAGGAAAACAACTGATAGTTTGTGTTGCCAGTGACACACTCGAGTTTTTAAGTAAAAATTAGAATTTTGGAAAACTTCCACCTACTATGAGCTTAACAGCTTCTCAATAAAACTTTTCTAACGAGATTCAATTAATTAATGTGACTGTACAATGATGTGTCAACACTTAGAAAACCTACCTAACCTAGTAATATTTTCCAAGTGACTAATGCCTGATATTACAAAATCATACATGAGTAAAAGACTAATTCCAAGTGCAAGACCATGGATTTTAATATAATAAAGTACAAAATATTCTTTGAGGTGGTCTAAAAGATTTGCAAAAATGTAAAACTCCTTTAAAAAATATTTCCAAAAAAAAAAAAAAATTCCCATAAAAATGTTTCCATGTTAAAATGTAATGGGCTTATCACTGTTATTTTAAAATGTTTGAATGTTATTTTAACTATTTAAATATTTTTAATTTCTTGGTTTTAATACTGAATATGGTTAATATTGAGATACACCAGTATAACCCAAATATACAAGACTCTTTAATGTCCTCAGTGATTTTTAGAATGTAAAGGATCTTAAAATTAAAAAAGTTTGAGAAAAAAATTACATTAATAAACAAAAGCTCTTGACAGCTAGATATGTTGCCTACCCCTACATGATATTTTCTAAGAAAACCGAACATGTTACTGTCACGTATTACAGTTAACCCAGTGACTCAGGACTGATCCTGGTCTACGAGCACTGCGTCCTGAAGCTGGAGAGGGCTGTGTTGGGAATTCAGTGTGTGTGTTCACCCCCGTTAACTTCACCTTCTCCTTTTCTGCCGGGAGCCGATCCATCCTTGCTGTTTCAAGGGACCTGGCATATATAAGTTCGCTGAGCTCAGCTGAGTCAACCGATCATGTTCTGTAATAAACAACAGGATTGCCCTTGTGAATCCATGTTGGTACCTAACCGGTTTGGCTCAATGGATAGAGCGTTGGCCTGCGGACTGAAGGGTCCCGGGTTCGATTCCGGTCAAGGGCATGTACCTTGGTTGTGGGCACATCCCCAGTGGGGGGTGTGCAGGGGGCAGCTGATCGATGTTTCTCTCTCATCAATGTTTCTAACTCTCTATCCCTCTCCCTTCCTCCTTCCTCTCTGTAAAAAATCAATAAAATATATTAAAAATAAATAAATAAAAATAAAAAAAATAAAAATAATTTGGTGGATTACATATTCATTGTAGAAAATGTTGAAAATATAAACAGAAAGAAAATTAAAATTACCTCTAATTCCAATACCTAGAAATAACTACTGTTGAGATTTTGGTATCATTTCTCTTCCTTCCTCTCTCTCTAAAAATCTATTTTTTAAAATCTTAAAGAAAAAAACGCCCTTTTAGAAAAAACTCTCTTATGGCAGCCTGTTATCCATAGGAGAAGGTTTAGAGGTCAAAGAACAGCTCTTTACAATCCAATTCCAACCTGTATTTCCAGCTTACCTCTCTCCCCAATTCTAGCCAAACCACACTGCTCATGTCCTGAAACACACAGAGCTGACGTTTTCATGCCACTGTGTTAAAGGCCTTTCTTCACTCTTCTGCCTAGAAAATACCTACCCTTCAGAATCTAGCTCAAATAACACCTCTCTCTGTCACACTCCCTAAAGCCACTAAGCAAAACTGTATTCTCACAGCATTTTGTACACACCTCTACGAAAGCATTTATCAGGTTGCATCATAATTAAATGCGTAACTCTTCTTTTCACCGAGAATTTAAACAGAACCTAGTTCACTGTAGATGGCAACTAAATTTTGAAACTTCTGGTACCTAATAAAGTAAAACTGTATTTTTTAATTATTTATTTTTAAACTCAACTATACAAAACTAGTTAGCTAAGGTCCATATAGTCAAGGGGGTTTTTTTGTTTTGTTTTTTTAATATATTTTATTGATTTTTACAGAGAGGAAGAGAGAGGGATAGAGAGTTAGAAACATCGATGAGAGAGAAACATCGATCAGTGCCCCCTGCACACTCCCCACTGGGGATGTGCCCGCAACCAAGGTACAAGCCCTTGACCGGAATCGAACCTGGGACCCTTGAGTCCACAGGCCAATGCTCCATCCACTGAGCCAAACCGGTTAGGGCTCAAGGTTTTAACATAAGTCATGAAATTAAAATAATTAAAAGGAAAAAGTTCATTTTCATATAAACTAGAAGTCACAAAGGTTCCTACACATTGAATTTAGTCACCCGACGTCTTTGTAAATAAAGAAGAAAAAGACTAGTGTCCAGGACCGAACCTGAGTGATTTCTGGTAGTAAAGATAATAGGAATAATGATGTGCATCAAATGTTAAGTGAGAGACAGAATCTAAAACAGCAGCATCAAAGGGCACAAGGATACCAGGTAGCAAGTTACTGCTTAATGCCCTCAGAAAGTACTGCCCCTAATTCAGGTCACTCCTCAAGAGTAGTTTATTCCTTAAAAAGTACTAGTGGAACTTACACTTTTTACTTGTTTTAGATGAGTTAATCTTTACTTTCAATTGAATAAAACCAAACACAACTATACCCACAGATATAATCAACCTACTTCTCTCCTAGCATGTAGCTCCCAACAACCAGTAACAGGACAGCCAATGTAGTTCTTGGTACTTAAGAATAAAAGAATATATAGTGATCCCTCAGATATTTATTGAATTAACTTCCATTTGCCAATAACTATTCTATTTGAAATGTCACTTTACCTATAAAAGAAATGTTATGTCACTACTTTTTATTTAAAAGTTATCTAAACTATTGCCTTAATTTGTCTTCCTATTATCCCATACTTACAATTTACCTAATATGCTACAGCTCCGGCAAAATCTGCCCTTATTATACCTCAGCTTAACACTCCAGTCTCTTTCATTCAAACTGTCACCCACCCCCAAATTTACTTCTCCTCAGGAACTCCAACAGCGGCACCTGCCCCCTGCGAAAGATCGATGAAGGGAAGTCCCGACTTGCACGCAGCACGGAAGGAACAGTTCAACATCCCCCAGGCAACCTTTTCTATAAACCCCACCTTGAAATCAAATGTCAGCTTTGCATTCTTGTTGACAGAAAATTAAAACCAGCTGAACTACTTCTACATGTTACCCATTCAAGCAATCACAGACCTGCACCAACATTTGTGTAGTATCTCCATTACCTAGGCTGAGAATTCTCCTCATACATTCTTTCTTTACCCTCCTTGAAGAGGCTTATGGTCTGCTTAGTTTTCTTCATCAAATTCTCCATGAACACCCTAAAATACTCATTTTCTCCAAGTGTCTCCATCTTCCCCTCATATCTTGACAGGACAGTGCGCAGGTGCTGGTAGGTGTCTGGCAGCAGGTCTAGGATGTAAGGCGGGCTGTTCTTTAGCGCCAGCTTTGGGTTCTGACACAGCCGCACCACCTGAAACAAATGGAAAAGAAGGGCTATTACTTGGAGGATCTTAAGGACAATTTCCTTTTTTAAGTTTAAAAAGATATAAAATATGTGCTATTGCAGAAATCTGAAAAATGGATAAGAATACAAGAAATGATCAATAACCCCTCTGTCCACAGGCTATCAATTTACTTTTTAAAAAATATATTTTTATTGATTTCAGAGAGGAAGGGAGAGGGAGAGAGAGAAACATCAATGATGAGAGAGAATCATTGATTGGCTGCATCCTACACGCTCCCTACTGGGGATCAAGTCCACAACCCAGGCATGTGCCCTTGACCAGAATCAAACCCGGGACCCTTTAGTCCACAGGCCGACGCTCTATCCACTGAGCCAAACCAGCCAGGGCCTATTCACATTTTTAGTGGTTCCCCTAGAAGGGTAAAACCATATGGAAGGCTAATGATTCCGACAACATGTAACAGACTAAACAACTGCAGCAGGAAGGCGGGGAAGGTGGGGGACATCCACACACATGCCTAAAAGAGCCGATGAAACATGGCAAATTCCTTCTGAACGCATGGCTTACTCCCTGAGAGCGAGAAAATTCTCAAGCTCGGAAGTGAAGATGGCTGCCGGGAGGTAAATCGGTGCTGGAGGGATGGCTTCTGAACAACCACTAGGGGGCGGGAGCAGAGAGGCTGTGGACCCAGGGAAGCATGGAGCTCACTGACATACCCTTTCTTCTCAGATAAATGCAGGTCTCTCAGAATTTGCCAGTAATTTCTTTTTTCTTTTTTTAAATTTTTAAAAAATACGTTTTGATTGATTTCAGAAAGAGAAGAAGGAAGAGAGAGAAAAACATCCATCGGCTGCCCCACGCATGCACTACGATTGGGGACCGAACCCACAACCCAGCATGTACCCTCACCGGGAATCGAATTGGCAACTTTTGGTGCACAGGGTAATGCTTACACTGTTATTGACAGAAATTAAAACCAACTGGACTACTTCTACATGTTACCCATTCAAGCAATCACAGACCTGCACAAACATTTGTGTAGTATCTCCATTACCTAAGCTGAGAATTCTCCTCATACATTCTTTCTTTACCCAGGTTGATGGGGGCTGAGGCAGAGGCAATTAGGGGTGATCAGGCCAGCAGGGGAGGGCAGTTGGGAGTGAGATCAGGCTGGCAGGGGGTTAGGGGCAATCAGGCCAGCAGGGGAGGGCAGTTGGGGGCGAGATCAGGCCAGCAGGGGAGGGCAGTTAGGAGTGATCAGGCAGGCAGAGGCAGTTAGGGGTGATCAGTCTGGCAGGGGAGAGCAGTTAGGGCAAGATCAGGCTGGCAGGGGAGGGCAGTTGGGGGTGACCAGGCCGGCGGGGGAGGGCAGTTGGGGGCGAGATCAGGCCAGCAGGGGAGGGCAGTTAGGGCTGATCAGGCCAGCAGGCAGAGAGGTTAGGGGCAATCAGGCAGGCAGGCAGAGGTGTTAGGGGCAATCAGGCAGGCAGAGAGGTTAGGGGAGATCAGGCAGGCAGGCAGGTGAGCGGTTAGAAGCCAGTGGTCCCACAGGGATCAGGCCTAAACTGGCAGTCGGACATCCCCCAAGGGGTCCCCGATTGGAGAGAGTGCAGGCTGGGCTGAGGGGAAACCCCCCCCCATGCACGAATTTCATGCACCGGGCCACTAGTTATCTATAAAAAAGTAGAGAGACAAGCTGAGGCCACTGAAGATGTTATTCAGAAAGGACTTACTTTTGGTACTGGCAGGCAGATAGGTTATGGACACTAGGAATCCCAGATCATCTTAATCCAGAATTGAGAAGATTTAAAAGCTGGGCTTCAGTCCTTAAAAAGACTGGTCTACCTGTTTCACCCTTACTCCTACGATTTAGGTCCTCAGGGACCCCACCCAAAAACCTAGAGTGTTTCCCAGGGCCCTCCACTTTGACAGGCTCTAATTCCAATGTTTTGTCCTCCTTGGCTGAATCAGCAATGGCCTCATCGGCAAGGCAGCCTCAAACACCAGGCTCACCTCTCTGAGCTTTCCTCATCTTCCAGAGTTTGGCCTCATAATTCCTCACTGCTTTTACAGCTTTTCTGTATCTTCTAGCTTTTCTAGTTGTCGGCAGTATATTTAATTTGAAACAACCTAGTCTAACATTTGCAGAACTCTGACGTCTTACTCATTATTTCACATTTTAGAATACCTATATTTTTGTCACCAGAAGCTCATTATAAACCTTTTGAGATGTCTAAATGGTTGCAGTCTATGAATATACCATATCTTAATCACTGCCCACACTCTGTTTTATCATTTACGTTGTTCTCAAGTCTTAAGTATTGCAAGTGTCACTGAGATGAACATCCGTGGCATGTCATTCTTCTGTATGTCAGACTGTTTCCTGAGGGTGGATTCCCCCAGAAGTGGGATTGTCAGGTCCATCGAGAACAACTGCAAAATTCCCATTTCAGGAACACTCAGCAGGGACTCTTTAAATTATGAGTGAGACAGTATTAAATTTCTAAAGCTAGATATACACCATTTCCTAAACTTTAAAGAACAGACCTACAGATAAGCCTAGCAAAAAAACATAAACGAATCAACAAAAATATTTAATGTATGATTATTTCAAGGCTTTAGGAAGTGCTCATCCTCTCAAGAATTTCAGGCCAAAAGAGAACGGCACAGCCAAGAAAAAAGACTCCGCCTCAGAAGACAAGTATCTTCTCAGTGCAACAGAGTCAAGAACTCACCTTTAATAAAACAAATGCAGACAGTCCCCTGTGTCAGTGTTACATTCTAAAATCGCACTTGTAAGTCAGCTGCTTACAATTCAGAATATATCTTACAGAATATATATTCACATGTAAAAATGTGAACATGGTAGGTCCCTGGGTTAGTCCATGGAAGGAAGAAGGGGAAGCTGACACTGGCACTAAGAGAGCAGGACCTGCAAGGATCACAAGAGGCATGTGACAGAAGGTTTTTATTTTCAGAGAAAACTGAACAGGAAATGGAATCTACAGCACAACTAGAAACTCTACACACATTAAAAGAAAACACATCTCCTTCCTCTCAAACATGAAGAAGAGGAGTGAGGACAGGTCCAGAGAGAGACAAACGGAGGCAGTGAATTAAACAAAGTTGTACCTGATGGTTTTGATTTTTCTCAATGTATCCATTCAACAAATATAGGATGGGACAACATAGCTTTACAGTTGTTTATTTGGGAAAATAATACAATAATTAATAAATAATAATACAAGAATAACTCAATCTGAGAGGAATAAGGCCAGAAACAACAATTTTTTAAAAAATCAACATGATAAACATCAGGTTCTATGCAGAGAATAGAGTAGTATAATAAGAAAATCCTGGATGCTTTAGAAGAGTGAATAGGGAAAGCTTTCTGAGATAAATTTGGGTTGAGAGTTTAAATTACAAGAAGGAGTTGGCCACGTAGACTCAGCAAAAGAGCAGCCAAAATAGAGGTAAAAAACTAACCCAACAGCCCTAAAGTGGAAACAAATTTGGACAGAAAGGTCAGCGAAAGAAAAAGGCAGAAAGCAAGGTGGAAAGGGTGACTGAGACAGAGATGTGGAGCAGGCAGGAAATTAACAAGAAGGCATTGTGATGAAGTCTAAAATATGTTTTTAAATTTTCAATTAGAATTTAAAAGGGCCACTTGTTTGGTGTGATTCAATGGTTGAGCATCAAGCCATGAACCAGGAGGTCACAGTTGGATTTCCGGTCAGGGCACATGCCTGGGTTGCAGGCTCCATCCCCAGTAGGGGACCTGCAGGAGGCAGCAGATCAATGATTCTCTCTCATCACTGATGTTTCTCTCTCTCTCCCTCTCCCTTCCTCTCTAAACCAATAAAAAAAATTTTTAATATCCTGTATCAGTCATTTACCTTTAGTAAATTTCTTAACATCTGAGCCTCAATTCTCCTATCTGTAGAAAGAGATGATACCTACCTCATAGGAAAACATTTGTGAAAGAACAGTTTCCAATAAAGTAGGCTTTCAGTAAGTGCAGTTCCCCTCCCCATGTCCACACAGCTTACACACAGGGCAGGCAGAATTATCTATTGAAGATGCAATGGTAGACCTCACATAACCCTTTGCTGACTCCCAGAAACTGATACCATTATTCCGACCATCCTGGCCAAGCCACAGCTACCTTCCCAATTCTGCATGGCCCCTGACTAACTGGTACCCAAGGAACAGAGAACAAACAGCGGGCCGCCAAGGACAGGCTGATCAACACCCTACAAACGCTACAGGAGCCACCCCTCAAAGGTCCAAACCAAACAGAGCTCCCGATAAAAGTATTTACATTTATATCCAGGGCCAAACACACGAACCCATGTATTCTTCCTAATTAAAGGCAAATGTATTAACACCACGCAATCATGTTAAATGTAATATTTGCCTAAAATCTCTGAAAAAAAGATATATTTCCTTTCAGTAACAACAACTAAAAACTATACTAACACTGTTCTGATCTTACATACATTGTCCAACCTATAACATGCAATCAATAAATGTTACTATATCACACTCCACAATAACATACCAGATTTACACTATCACAAGTTTAAAAAATGTTCCAAAATGCTTGATCAATTTGCATTTCAAATTAGTACTATGGATCTCCCAGGAGTGTTATATATCGCTCCTTAGAACAGCGGTTCTCAACCTGTGGGTCGCGACCCCTTTGGCGGTCAAACGACCCTTTCACAGGGTCGTCTAAGACCATCCTGCATATCAGATATTTACATTACGATTCATAACAGTAGCAACATTACAGTTATGAAGTAGCAACGAAAATAATTTTATGATTGGGTCACAACATGAGGAACTGTATTTAAAGGGCCAGAAGGTTGAGAACCACTGCCTCAGAATATGACCTTGTAAAAGATCATTTGTAGACTAAGTGTCTGACCAGGGAAATCAGCACTGCACGAACAACTTGAATCTCCAATGCTAACACAGACAATAAAGAAAATATATATAATCCCACTTCTAGGAATATATCCCAAGAAAACAGAAACACCAATCAGAAAGGATATATGCACCCCTATGTTCATAGCAGCACAATTCACCATAGCTAAGATTTGGAAACAGCCTAAGTGCCCATCAACAGATGAATGGATTAGAAAACTGTGGTACATCTACACAATGGAATACTACGCTGCTGTAAAAAAGAAGGAACTCTTACCATTTGCAACAGCATGGATGGAACTGGAGAGCATTATGCTAAGTGAAATAAGCCAGAGAAAGATAAATATCACTCATTTATGGATAATAAAGAACATTATAAACTGATGAACAAAAATAGATACAGAGGCAGAGAAGCATCAAACAGACTGTCAAACTACAGCGGGAAGCCCGGGGAGGGTGGGGGCGGCGGGGTGAGGTAAGAGATCAACCGAAGGACTTGTATGCATGCATATAAGCATAACCAATGGACATAAGACACTGCGGGGGATGGGGGGAGGGAATGTGCTGGGGGGTAGGGGAGGCTGGGGGAAGATCAATAGGGGAAAAAAAGAGACACATGTACTACTATTTGTAATACTTTAAACAATTAAATTTTTATAAAAAAGAAAGAAAATATATAGGTAGAACTACTCTTTGGATATTAAAGTCTTCTGGAAAGAAAAAAATGCCTTAAATATTTATAACCTCTAGGGAAAAAAGTTCCAAAAAGGCTCTGTGAATAATTCAACAAATTATCAACCAATAGTTAACAAATATTAAAGGCCAAAGCAGCCTGCCTTTGTTACTTCTGTGAATTTTAAATGGCAGTCACAGTTAACTTTAAAAAATTCACCAAATAATTTCTGCAAGATAAAATATTTCCCTGTCTAGTCTGATCTCTATTTGGCCAGCTTCGCTTTGCTTTCCATGTCTCCCAACAGTAAAAACGGCTGCTTTTTGTTGACCTCTGCTGTACATTTACAGCATCGCGCAGAACAATGTCAAAAAGAAGAATGTGCCTAGCTCTGGGGACCAACAGTATCCTGTGCAGCTGCCATATCCTCCATTCATAGTAGTTTTCTCACCAGCCTGGCTACTCTTTGCTTCTGCCAAGGCTCAATGATCAATAGAAAAATTTTGGAAAGTGCTATGATCACACTACAGAAGTATATTATGCTTCAAAACTGCTCAATTTTTGAAAAATAGAAAAGCTACAGAGAACAGTGCCTAAACTAATTCTATTCTAATCACAATGTTTGATAACACAAAGGAACCTGTATTTCTAATTAAGCAGAAAGCTGTAAGCATATAGGACTATGAATAACTAAGTATTCTCTTTTTTTAATATATTTTTATTGAGTTCAGAGAGAGGCAGGGAGAGGGAGAAAGAGAGAAACATCAATGATGAGAGAGAATCATTGTTTGGCTGCACACCCCACACTGGGGATCAAGCCCACAATCCGGGCACGTGCCCTGACCGGGAGTCCAACCGTGACCTCCTGGTTCATAGATTGATGCTTAACCACTGAGCCAAGCTGGCCAGGCATAACTGAGTACTTTTCATCTCTGTAGACCTCAACTTATCCATGGAAGCATTTTTCATTTCAAACTATTTCATAAATTAAAACATTATTAAAATAAGCACTCAAAAATGAGTATTCAGTATGTTGAGCTACATATAAACATGTAAAATTGGATTACAGTTTTAAAAGAATTTATATTGCTCAAGAGAATAGGAAGTATAGCAAAAGAGACACCAGACTAGGAGTCTGGAGCCCTGGGTTCTAGTCTGGTGTATGACAGGAACTGGCTACGTGACCTTAGGCAAGTTGTTCATCTCTCAATTTCTAACTCTACAAATAAAAGAGATCAAGTAATTTCTAAATTCTCATAAGACTTTAATTTCCTAAAGTCTTCTTAAAATTTCAAGTTTCGGAAACTTGAAGATTTATCAGTTGTACAAGTGCAAATATGTATATTAGCATACTGCCCTCCAAAAAAAAAATCTTCCACCCACAACCCTTGTCTAGTTTCTTGACTTAAATATGGTAGCTGATTCCTAGTTATCTCAGGTACCTTAGTGAAAACATGGCACCTTGCCAACTCACACTGTATCGAACACAAACTCTAACAGGTGCTAGGGCGTTACAGACTGCCCAGCGCGCGCACACTGCGCTCTGGTGCTGTAGTGAGGGCACACCCAGGGCTCTGGGCAGCTCGGTGGGGGTCTTAGGTAAACTACTACTTAATCCCTGAGAAGACAAGCAGGGGGCTGGGAGTGGGGAGGGACTTGAGACCACACAGGCGCCACACTGTCCTAATACACAGTAGATGGCAACTAGGGTCAGACATCCACATGTGATGTTAATCATTTCACCTCTAGTTTGTTCTAAGTGTTTGGTTTGGAATTTTTCTAATATGCCTGATCAGAGAATTACTTTTTTTTTTTTAATACTCACCTGAGGATATTTTTTCCATTGATTTCTAGAGAGAATGGAAGGGGGAAGAGAGAGAGAGAGAGAGAGAGAAACATTGACATGAGAGAGACACATGGATTGGTTGCCTCCCCCACACCCCATCCTGGGGCTAGGGAACCTGCAACCGAGGTATGTGCCCTTGACTGGAATCAAACCCTCGACCTTTCAGTCGGTGGGCCGATACTCTAACCACTGAGCAAACCGGCCAGGGCATGCATTCTATTTTTAAAAGGACAAAGTAGCCCTAGCCAGTTGCTCAGTGGTTGGCCTATGAACGGAAGGATCCCACATTCGATTGCAGTCAAGGGCACGTACCTGGGTTGCAGACTTGATTCCTGGCCCCTTGTTGGGGCGCATGCGGGAGGCAACCAATGGATGTGTCTCTCTCACACTGATGTTTCTCTTTCTCTGTCTCTCCCTCTCCCTTCCACTCTCTCTAAAAATCAATGGAAAAAATATCCTCAGGTGAGGATTAACAAAACAAACACAAAAATAGAATCCATGTATAAAAACTGCATGGTTGGGATATGCACACATATGTAATACCTTAATCAATAAAAAAAAAAAAGAATAAAAATTATAAATAAATAAAACAAAAAAAACTGCATGGTTAAGATGTCAGCACATGTCAAGTTATTTAGTTTGATATAGTATGTATTTTTTAAAGTTTAATGTATGATTCCTTTGACTCAGCCTATTGCATTTCTAGGAGTTTAGTCTAAAGAAATATTTAGGCCCTAACCGGTTTGGCTCAGTGGATGGAGCGTCGGCCTGCGGACTGGGGGGTCCCAGGTTCGATTCCGGTCAGGGGCATGTGCCTTGGTTTCGGGCACTTCCCCAGTGGGGGCGGTGCAGGGGGCAGCTCATCGATGTTTCTCTCTCATCGATGTTTCTAACTCTCTGTCCCTCTCCCTTCCTCTCTGTACAAAATCAATAAAATATATTTTTTTTAAAAAAAGAAATATTTAGAAATTGCATAATGGATAGTCATTAAAGCATTGTTTCTAATATTAATAATAAAAAATAACCTAGAAAATAAGCAATATAAATATATTAAGTAAGTCCTTAAAAAAGAATTCAAGAAGCCCAAGCCAGGTGGCTCAGTTGGTTGGAGCATCATCCCATACACCAAAATATGGCGGATTCGATTCCTGGTCAGGGCATATATCTAGGTTTCGAGTTCGAGCCCCAGGAGGCAATCAATCGATGTTTCTTTTCACATTGATGTTTCCCTCTCTCTTTCTGCCTTCCTCTCTCTCTAAAAATCAATTTTAAAAAAACGTATCCTAGGGTGAGGATTAAAAATTTTTTTTCAATTCAAGAAGACATATAAGTGTTATTAACATAGAAAATCTCCATAATGTAGCAATTTTTTAAAAAAGAAAAACTGCCGAAGCCGGTTTGGCTCAGTGGATAGAGCATCGGCCTGCGGACTGGGGGGTCCCGGGTCGATTCTGGTCAAGGGCATGTGCCTGGGTTGCGGGCACATCCCCAGTGGGAGATGTGCAGGAGGCAGCTGATCGATGTTTCTCTCTCATCGATGTTTCTGGCTCTCTATCTCTCTCCCTTCCTCTCTGTAAAGAATCAATAAAATATATTTAAAAAATAAAAATAAAAAAAAAAGAAAAACTTCTGGAACCAACTTTGCTTAAAAATCCCACTTTTACTTAAAAATGTATAATTTTATAAAAATTTAAGAACATAATAACTAAAACCTTAAAGCATTAATAGGGATGCTTTCTTCCCATTCATTTATTTACTTTTTTTTTACTTCAAATTATTTATTTATTTATTCTTATGTATTGTTTAAAGTATTACAAATAGTAGTACATATGTCTCCTTTTTTTCCCCATTGACCTCCTCCGTGGC